TTGAACCCATTTAGGGTTCCAGAAGCAATATTGCAATTATGCTGTCTCTTTGTTTGAAACCTATTTCTGTGAAATAAATTTTATAATACTAGTTTTTTATTAGATAGGTTATCTGCAAATATCAGAGCTGCCAGCATCTGACTTCAGTAGCTACTACCACTGTTTTGTGTTATAGCTGCCAGATCTTTTTCTGAACGTATTTGATTCAAGTTGCATGCAGAGGGAAAAAATAAGTCATTGTCCATAGCATTACTTAGTATTTGTTCTTTAATGTAGCTTATAATTACAAAGTGATAGAACACCATTTGTATTTTACAAGATGCTCTGTAGTCAGTTATCAGAACGTTTTTATCCATTCAGTTGTCACTATTTTTCTTTGTCATGGATGGATCATGGATCACTTCTCTAAAAAGCTTTCTCAGATAATACCAAATATGTCTTTAATTGTGAACATTTATTTCAGAATCTCTTGCTAGCATTCAATTATTTACCAATTATTAAGGCTGGAGGGGTTGATTTAGTATTAGCATGACTGTTGCTTAGCTTATCTTGATATTACTTTGCTCTTTGTTTCAGATATTAAGGCTTCAGTCAACATCCAGCTGTTTAGATGAGTGTCTTCCTATAAAGTTTCTAAGCTCAAATTTGAAGATAAGTAAACTGAACGCTCTCTTACTGGAAAATACCAAGCACTTCCAGTGACAGAATATGTGTGAACTTGTCTTCTCACTTGAGGGGTGTGGGGCAATTTAAGTAGGACAACGTAAATAGGTTGCTTTCCCCACCTTGTACAATTAATTATGTGTGGCCTTCACTGTAGCTATATTTTTCAAGGATGCATATAGGAGCAGTGTTGCGTCTGCCGGCCCACTGCTCCATGACACCAAAGAACCACTTATGTACAGTTTCTTATGGAATTTCTAGAAATGCATCTTTAGCCCTTAGGAGCCCTTTCTCACTATTTTTCCCCTGTGAAATAGACTGTTAACATACCTGGAAAGGTCTCTTTTGAGACTTTGCAACTATCTTGATGAGGTAAGTGTGGAAGTGGAATATTGCTTGTTGAATAAAGAATGTTCATTCTGTGTATCCCCTAAGAATTTTTCCAATTTCATTTCAGATTATACTTGAAATGAAAATTGCTTTTGAGTTTTTAAAGTGTTAATATATACACTTGAAATTCTACAATTAAATTCTTTTAAAGACATAGTAATATTTAAATATCTGGAGATTCTTTTTGTTATTTGAGATGTGATTGCTTCTTTGTGGGGGAGGAGGTGAGAAAGCTTTATCTCCTTTTGTCCGAGTCCTTTGTCTTGAAGTAAAGAAGGCTATCAAATATGATGTGGGAAATGTTCAAAACAGTTTCTTTTTAAAGCTGTGATGTTGTATGAAGTGCAAATCCATTTAGAAAGAAGGAAAACAGCCAGTAAAGGCAGGATTTCCAACCAGAGTCTTGGTTTCAAACTATAAGTAATATAAACCTTTGTAATGAAATGGAAGAAGAAGCAATGATAGAATTAAAGGGTAGTTTATTTCCTTGTGCTCATAGGAATTATAAAGCATTATAAACCCATTTTGGTAGTTGAAGCTGTAGTACGTTTAAAAGGCAGTCTGCAGCAAATTAATTCGATAGTACATAATCTTTCCTCTGAGCAAAAAAGACATCTCACGTTAAGGGAATGTGGAACTGGTCTTTCAACTATTTTGCGTCTTCCCACTGCCTTTCCTGTCTTTCACTCATTATTTTAGTATGACTTACTTTGAATTTAACAGTTCCCAAGATCCATCTGCAGCTTCTTTATATAACTTAACTGGAACATTTGGAGCTGGAGTTCCTCGGAGTGAATCCAGAACTCTTACGTAAAGAGGATGCTTGTAGTCAGGAGAGTCCTTCAATAGGAAGAAAGAATTTTTATGTTGCAAGAAGGGTATGCGATGGTGCATTGTAAAGCAGTAATGAGTATTATTCTTCAGATCTACAGCAGAGACCATATTTTTTACAACAAGATCACTGTATACTGCAGAAACATAACCTGAATCTTTCTGGGGACTGGATACGGTGGAGCCAGGGAGGAAGATGTCAGGAGCTGTTGTGCGTGTAGCCATGTACGCTAGGGAGGCACTGCAGCTGTGAGATACATTTCTGTTTTCTCTTTGGCATGGCTTAGCTACACATCATCTCTAGCGTGAAGTTGTAACTAAACTGTGGCCTCAACAGGAAATAAACCATCAAAGATAAGTAGGACTGTTTAAAAATCTGTCAAGTCTTCCTCTGTATTTTGAAGTGGCAATTTGAGCACAGCTTTCTGGAGTTGAGATGCCTCTGATATCTTGTTGCCATTTTCTTAATTCTGCTGTAAACTTGATAAGCACCACATACAGACTCTTCCCTAACAGCATGTTGAATCAGATTTGTCAGCCCTGGCACCTATACAGGGATAGGAGAGGAAAACCTTCCTTCGAAGATGACATGTTTCACTCCCAACGTGTTCATCACAAGTAGTGATTATGCCCTGATGTTTTAGCTATTCAAAGACAGAGTTGAATCAGGGCTTTGACTTTCCATTACCTGATTCTACAGATGAAAAGTGAGAAAATAGAGCTTTGTAGAAGGTGCTAATCAGGGATGGTCTCAAAATAGCAGTCACTGATATCCATGTAATCGTTGCAAAATGAATCGTGATGTAGATTGTTAAAAACTAAGAGCCCTCTCTTTCACCCCCTCACGGTCTGGGATGTACTGAACATCCCATTGGCCTGTATCCCTGCCCTGTATCCCACCAGTGTATCAGCATATATCTATAGTGCTTGTATGCCTAGACTCCTCACACTCCCTTTCTGGAATGCAGGGACTCACTAGAGTTTCTTGTGAGACCTTGGCAAGGAGGGCTGCACTGCTACCATTGATTTTCCTGGCTTTTACACCCTGGGGGCTCAATGAAAGTCTTAATTCCTCAACAAGCTTGGTCAGGTATTAATTTTCCCAAAGATCAGAGCTTGAGAGGAAACATGAGTAGTTGACAAGAGATAGATGAGGCTGTTGTCGGAGAATTTCAGACTGAGGCATCTGTGTTGCTAGCTTAATTTGCTGGAATAAATGAGCCCTCTGGAAGAAGATCCTGACTTTGGCTCTGTTCTTTCCTTGCCTCAATGAGTCTTGAGATCCCTTTTTGCTTACATCAGGTTGAGCTGTATTGGATAGAGCAGTAAGGCAGAAGTCTAGAGAAGGCCTTTCTGCAGCAATGGTCTCGCAACTGGAAATGACATCCCTCATGACACAGCTTGCTCATCATGTTATGAAGGCTATTAGTTACTTTTCAACAGGCTCGAGGTTTTTTGTGTAGTGAATATGATAGTTTTTCCCTTTTTTGTTTTTCATTGGGTTTTGTATAGTTGCTATGTCTAATGACAAGTGCTACTTCTGTAACCATAAAGTCCTCTCGCTAGTCACTAGAGAAGGAGAAAGGAGAACCAGAAAAGAGCAGCAGCAGAGAACTACAGCCAGTATATACTATGAAATCAAAATAATTGCAATAAAATAGAATATTCTATTTTTTTGCCTGTACTAATTAAAGTAAAATGAAAAAGCTGGGTCTACATCATTAGAAGGACTTAAATCCTGAGACACTTACCGGTGATGAAGCTTCGGAGCAAAATGTCAGGCCAGCTAAGAAAACAAGAAATACAGAAGAAAAAGCCATTTTGCCTACCACTAGGAAGTCTCAGGGCCGGGAGGCAGAAACTGATGGGATCTCTGATTTTTATATCAAAGCTTCTAAAATGAAGTTACTTATCAGAAAACCCATATGACTTGTAACATGCAGATTCATATTGTTTACTTAGTAAACAATGAGAAAATAAGTAACCCATACAAACATGAACCTTGTCTGCAAACATAAGTCTGTTTTATCCTTGGTTGTGGAAATACTGTGAATATTGCCTAGTTCAACTACAATGATCAATGTTTTTGGAAACAATGTCTATTCTGGTATATTTTTCTCTTTTTTATTGAGGAATAGTGGTGTATTGATTTCATATAGTTGAGGGAAATACAAATTTTGTGTCAACTTAGCAATTTCACAGAATCACAGAATATGGTGAGTTGGATGGGACCAACAAGAATCATTAAGTCCAACCCTTAGACCTGCACAAGACCATCCCCAAAAGTCACACCGTGTGCCTGAGAGTATCATCCAGACAGTTCTGGAACTCTAGTAGGCTTGGTGCTGTGACCACTTCCCTGGGGAGCCTGTTCCAATACCCAACCACCCTCTCGGTGAAGAACCTTCTTCTAATATCCAACCTAAACCTCCCCTGACACAGCTTCAGGCCATTCCCTTGGGTCCTGTCACTGGTCACCACAGAGAAGAGATCAGTGCCGTTCCCTTCTCTTCCCCTCATGAGGAAGTCATAGAGTACGATGAGGTCTCCCCTCAGTCTCCTCTTCTCCAGGCTGAACAGACCAAGTGACCTCAGCTGCTCCTCATATGGCTTCCTCTCAAGGCCCTTCACCATCTTTGTTGCCCTCCTTTGAACACTCTGTTATAGCTTAATATCTTTCTTATCTTGTGGTGCCCAAAACTGCACACAATATTCAAGGTGAGGCCGCACCAGTGCAGAGCAAAGCGGGACAATCCCCTCCCTCAGCTGGCTGGCGATGCTTTACCTGATAGCCCCCAGGACAGGGTTGGCCCTCCTGGCTGCCAGGGCACTGCTGACTCATATTCAACTTGCCATTGACCAGGACCCCCAGGTCGCTTTCCGTGGCACTGCTTTCCAGCCTCTCATTCCCCAGTCTGTATGTACATGTGGGGTTGCCCCATCCCAGGTGCAAAATCCAACACTTTCCCTTGTTGAACTTCATATGGTTGCTGATTGCCCAGTCCTCTAAATTGTCAAGGTCTCTCTGCAGGGCCTCCCTGCCTTCGAGAGAGGCAACAGCTCCTCCCAGTTTTGTGTCATCTGCAAACTTGCTTAGTATGCCTTCCAATCCTGTGTCCAAGTAATTTATGGAGAGGCTGAAGAGGACAGGGGCTGAGATGGAGCCCTGCAGAACCCCACTAGTGATGGGTTACCAGCCTGATGTTACCCCATTCACTATTACCCTCTGTTTCAGTGAGAAATTATCTGTGTTTATGGTTTGGCTTAACTGAGTCTCCCATATTTGCCTATTAAGAGATTTCTTTCTGTGATGGCCTTCTTCCCACCTCTAATAAAAGGTAAGTGGGTAGTGTCTGGGCTATCTAGTTATCTTATGCATCCCCCATGGAGGAAAAATATTTTGGTTTCCAGCATTATAACTAGATACCTACACAACCATTTCTGAAGCACAGTTAAACTGTTTTAAGTCCTATCACTTTATTTGTCCCTTAGGTCACTAAAAGTTCAGGACTTTCCCTGTACAACTGCAAGTCAGTTCCTCTCAGAAGTATGTGCTTCATTTTAGGGAAATGTTACTTCTTGAAATTAAACTTTGTCTTTCTTTGATCTTTGGTTAGACACATATACGTATACATACACTCTTACTAGGTTTATCCTGTCATCAGGTGGATGACTACACACAGTATTTGTTTTATTTTGTTTTGTTTTTTGATGACTACACCTATATGAGCATATTTGGGTCCTATTTTGAGGGCTTGACATAGCCCACTGCAAATCCAGCCTACTGGTTTTCAAGCTCCAGGAACATCAGGATCCCGTGAGATGTCCATGCTTCAAGATGGGTGCTGTTTTGAAACTATTTGTACTGTTTACAAGTGTTATGTAATTATGGTACTGTCCAGAAATCCGGGGAAAAAGCAACCAAATAGTGAAATGTTAAAGGTAAGCTTTTGTAACTTGCGAATTCACTTGGTATGCCAACATCCCAGCAAGCTCTGGATGTAGGGGTAAACTCCAAGGTCAGTGGCTAATGAGTGGTGATCGTGATTTCATTATCTTTCTCTGTAATTTGTGTAATACATTTAAAACCCAATTCCTCTGCTTCAGGATATTTTAAATACAATAGGCCACGAAATCACTGCTAAAGCTCTCAAAGTCTTTGGTCAGTTTATCAGCAACGTTATTTGAATTACAGTCACTCTATAGCTTTTTCCTATTTCTGAAAATATGAAGAGAATATTAAAATGATGCTTCTATTTTAGGACTTCTTTTTAATGATGGCTAGAGATTTGGCTTGTTAGAGATTTAATTGGAATGCACCAGAGTAGGGTAGCCCACTGTGTTATATCAAATAATCACTTTAATATCAAAGCTGTTAGAAACAGTGCTAATTGAAATTACTTCAGAACTTCCTAGATTGACTGAGCAGCAAACTTTCCTCTTGAAACATGAGAGTGTTGAGGTTTACGCGAAGTTTTAAATAAAGGTACACAGATTTTAACTCTTTCAGTTCTCTGGACATACATATTTGAACAGCTTCTTCATTGTTGTTCTGCTGCTCAGAATTCAGAATTTCCCCTTTTTATCCAGTGACCCAGTTAAGAATGGGACCATATCTTCCGTGTGTAAACTAGGAGTAGCATGAATGACTTTCTTATTTTGATGACATATATTTGGTAAATTTTTTAAGGTAGCACAACTCCGTAAGTTTCTTATTTTGAGCCAGTGTATTTGATGAGACTTTTTTAAGGTGGTGAAGGTAACAGAATTAAATCAAGTGCCATCTGGCATGTATTTTTGAGATGTTCTTTGCATTTCAATGCAAGTAAAAAAATAATTATGATACCTTAGAACACAATAAAACTGCACCAATAGAGTCAAAACTGTTTTAAAGAAGTAATATTTTATTGACTTGTCTGAAGTTTGCCAGGTTACAAAATGAAAAAAAATACAATCTAATGTAGCAAAACATTATGCATTAGCAGTAGGAAAGCCCTTCCTCCTAAAAGCCTATGATAGTTCTAGTGGAGGAGAGTTTTTGTGTAAGGACAATACATGTTTATTCCTGGGGATCAGTGACAACAGCAGTGGTTGAATAGGAGAAAGGACTGAGGAGAGCGGCAATGGTATAGTGGCGGTGACCGGAATCATTAGCAGTGAAGACCACCTGGAAAAGAGAAAACTTGTGATCAGGGTGAACTACAGATGTTCAAAACTACCATATTAAGAACAAAGAAGCACATGCCATTTCATCTGCAGAGTACTTTGCCAGTTCTGTTCAGTGATTTTACCTTTCTGAAGGGTAATGCTCCCCGTTACTTTGTGATGCTTGCTGAGGACTGAGGAATTTGTGAGATTTGAACCGAGGTCCACAGAGCCTTGGCTGCAGTGAAGCTAGGTGGAGATACCTACAGCTGAGCCAGGCAACTACTTTGTGGATGTGGAGAGGGAGAACGAGGGGGAGGTATCTCAAGTGACCAATAAGAAAGACTGGGGTGAAATTCCACCTGGTGAATTTAAATAGAACCTCTGTGTGAGGTGGCCAAGCAAGGTACAAGTTGGAGCCCAAAGCTGCTTTCTGTACTTCAGTGCCCCCTCCTGTTTTTAGCACTACTGGTGATGGCTTAGTTCTTGCATTGAGAACTGAATGACTGGACTTGCCAGAACAAAGAGAAAACCCTTACCCTAAGGCAATTCTAATTTGCTGCTCTCCAAATCAGTCCCTTGGAGCTTGGGACACCCAGTTGCCAGGAAAATGTCATCACCTGGGTCAAGCTCAACCTTTCTTTGGCTCTCATTAGCCTATTATTTGATCTATTTTCTAGACCATGATGTACTTTCTACAAGAGGACTAGTGAGTTCTCTCCTACGTCCCAGTCCTGACAAAGGACTAAACTCCTGGGATGTGGAGACTGTAGGCTTCAGTTACCTTGTACACAGACACAGAGTTACTGAACTCTACACGCTTCCCAAGCTAGTTTGCTGACCTGTAGGGTATTATGTTAAGGAAAATCTTATTCAACAGTCTGGCTGGAACAGTCTCAACCAGGCACTTTTAAGCACCTTATGAGGCAAAGCAGTTACAACTTTCAGACACCCAAATGGTTAGGGAATATTTTTGAGGTTTGTTTATTTGACCTAAATCACCCAAACTACACCTCAGACTTTTATGGACCTGGGCCTCAGTCCTTTGTTTTAATTTTCCTCAGAGCTTCATAAATTTGTGGTTTAAAATGTTCTACAACACGACCAGTAGCTATTCCAGACTACTTAAATTGGGGAAACTCAAGTTTAATGACAGATTAAGCCACAAGAATTTAAACAGATTTTTGGAAGTGCTATGTAAATGTAGTAGAATAGAGCACAAAATAAATCAGTGTAGGTCTGAAAGCAAAAGGAGGGACAGGACATGATTATATTGCTGGCCTGCTTATGAAATATGAGTATGATTAAATAACTAACTTTTCCTTTCCAATTATGCTTATTTCTTTATATTTGTATGCCTTCTTTTTTTTTTTTAATTGCATATTTTAGTACTGAACATCATTAAGAAAATGACACACCAGAAAGAATTGGTTTTTTCCCCCATAATTACAGGTCTGTACCTTTTTTATTTTCTTGTTTGCTTTGATAAATCCTGTCTGCTTTTGAATAATGTAGCTCTTTTTGAACAAAGATCCCTACTGCTATGACCGGGTGAATGGGCACAGCTCCACTTTGGAAAAGCTGTATCAGTATTTGGAGGGAAGTTGGCTACTTCCTTTGGCTGAGTTTTTACTGCCTTTATTTGTCCAAAGTTGTGTGGCAGCAAACCATTTCACTGAATGATGCTGCTCCTTTGGTATTAGAGGACTGTATTTGTTCTTTCCAGCTGATTCCGCTACACAGTCAGTGTATACAGGTTATTAAGTATATTTGCAACTACTTACATCAGCGTATTCATGGAACGGAGAAAGCCCAAGCCCCTTCCAGTAAGAGCTGGTGTCAAACTTAATCATGTATATTCCTTCTACAAACTGTTCTTCTGTTGTGAGCTCATGGATTTCCCCATACTCAGTAGTTTTCCTGTAATTATAAATTATCTGCATAAATATTTTATACCTTTATTTAGATGCTATTCAGAAACAGTCAATGTGGAATATTAAATAGCAGATGTGTCAAATTCTGCATTGATCAGTTTCCAATAATCTGAAATAATTCCCTCCTTCTATGTAGTGTATGTTTCCATATTGCAGAGTCTGCCATTGCTACCAACTCATCCATCTGCATCACAAATCAAAACTGCCTGGTTTAAGGTCCCTCTTTTAGTAACATGTACCAAGTGCCCTCTGAAACAAAATGTTAGAGTCTTAGGAAGAAGATTGTCATGATGAGAGGCAGGATGCCAAATCTCAAAATATAATTAAGGAGAAAAGAGAAACTTTAGTGGAAAGTTATTTTGTTCTCTAGTTATTAGCACTGAAGCTATAGGTCGTATGCTTATACACTGATGTGATTTTATGTGACCCTGAGTGGTAGTGTCTTGAAAAAGCAATTTAACATCACAAGATTTTATTAATTTGAATTGTAATGCCTTGGTTGAAGAGCAAGGGCCTTTTCCACTGGGTACCATATAAATGAGGAATTCCCAGCTCAGAGATTATGTACTCATAACAAAAAACTGGGGGGGAAGGAAGTCCAGAAGTAAGAGGGAAGTATAGCTGGCATTGTACGCTATTTGTTTTAAAAGGAAGATTTTCAAGCTTTGTATGACAGCTATTTAAATATTTGCATACTTAGCTTGTGAACACTGTTTATCTCTTTTCCATTTTTCCATTTTTTTTAACCTTTGTTTGTTTGTTTGTTTTTGTTGGGGTCTTTTTTTCTGCTGGAAATATTTATTTGATATTTATAGCATTTCATAACCACATGATGTATTTGAAGGAAAAATGAAGAAAGTCTCGACTGGAAGAACTAGTAGAACTTTCTTGTCTGATGGCAAGGAGTAACTGTCTAGACAGCAAACAAAAAAGCTTGAGGAGAAAGAGAGGATGTGAAGAAAGCACCGTTTATCCAAGACAGAATCAGGGGCGTTATTGGAGCTTTTCTTTCCCAGTCACTGCCTCCTCTTTCATCTTATTTGTTATTTTTGGTTAATGATGGTGAATGAAAAAGACTGAATGCCAGACCTTTTGCTTAAATTAAGAGGGAGCAGGATTGAAAAAACCCCATGATAATTTTCATATTTTCTTATATGTCAAGACTGACAAAAGTCTCACTGGTCCAAGTGTAATCAACTGTACTCAGGGCAGACCAAACCAGCAGAGAATCCAAGCCCTATTTGAAATGTCTCACAGGCAATTTGTGAAGTGTACACTTCTGTTTTCCTTTGGTTTAATTAGTAATTCCTGGTTTAATCTATATTGCTTTAATAGAAAGAGGAAGAATTCATTGGCAAGTGTCCTTGAAACTGTGAAACAGAATTGCTGAGGTACTGCAGAAGTGTTCAGAGAAAAAGTGACCAATCCACGTACGTCTGCTTGCAAGTTGGGTAGTCCAGACAAAAACCAGTTAAAAGGGAAAATGGTGCCAGCCTCAAAATCTTTGTCCAGAAAAACAAATAAATTTTAGTTTGAAAAACGTGTGGATGCAGCTTGAATGGTGCTTTCCCTAATGGGTGCTGACCTAGAGCTGCAGATGCTCCCCATCCAGAACAGCTGGGAAACTGGAAACAAGAGTTCACTTCAAAACACATGCCCACTACCAGAAGTTAATGGCACTTTCTTTATTTCTGTTATTAAGTGGTAGCCATTCAATGCAAGTGGTCTCACAAGGAAACCCTTCAGAATTACTGATGCATTGACTGCCAACAGGACAGTGTGTGATTCAGAGCCAGGAGGGGATTAGCACAAGGCAGAGGATGCTCTGCATTCAGTGCTGGTAGCAAAATGCTGCAAGTGATTCCTTCTGAACAGCGCTTGTCTCTGAACACTCTGAGTGGGGGAATAAATATAGTATGGTTGCTTATTTCTAATGGGATGTGGACTGCCAGCATCTGCTGTAAGATGGACAGTTAAGTTAAAAAAGCTGTGCTTTTCCAGTTAAGTTACTACAGCACCAGCCTAGACTGCAACCCTGATCCTCTTTTTCACTGTCTAGACCTTAGTTGTATATTGTGTACAGGTTAAATCTACGCTGTCTGTACAATGATGTTTACGAACTCCTAGGACACATACTGCACTGAGATAAACTATGCTGTGAGATGCAGACTTTTGAAGAAATATCTAAGGAACACGAACTATTATTGTGGAGTTAAAAAAAAAAAAGAGGGTTGGGGAACCACTTCAAATATGCTGCAGTCTTTTCTTTTTCATTATTTACAACCTCCGTTGCATAAAAGCTATGTTTGGTGACTGCAAGTCTTGAACTACATGATAAGACCTAGATTTCCCAAAACTTGTGAGGAGTGAAAAGGTCAAAGCTAGTCATGGGAGCAGCTCATATAGAATACAAATCACATGCTTCCCAGGTCCCTGTGCCCTGAAGTCTTCCTCAGTATGTGTCCCAGCTCAAGTTATCTCTTCCTGCATATTTTTAGCTGGTATCTCTTCTTGAGTATTTTTAGCTAGAGTCATTTTGAAATAAGCCTCTTAATAAAGGTAGCTATTGCTATGCTAGCTCTCCCCTGCCCCTTAAATACTGCAAATTCAACAGTTGCTAGTTGCATTTGCTTAATTCCATAAAGTGTGTTAGCAAAGTAAAAGTAAGCAAACAAAAAGGTAAGGAAAACCTTTTATAAACATTTGTACAAAATGTAACTTTTCCATATATATCTGCTAGGTACTGTAACTTCAAAATATTGTTCACCTGATGGGACTATTTACAGGTGGTGTTTTTGGACTGCATTCATATTTTCTCTTGGTCTAACACAGGGAAAATCTGGCTTCCCCAAAAGAATAAAATTGCAATCTCATATGAAAACCCAGTTCAAAGAAGTGTCGTCAACTAGTGTCAATGGTATCACTGAAAACAGCCTTTGTTAAGGTGCAAGTCAAGGGAAAGGTCAAAATCTTTATCTGCAATAAAAATTATGATTTCATGTTCCTTTACTGCCATCCCCAAGCAAAATGGTTCTCACCTAAGCCTAGGGTTAATCTTCTCAATTTATGTTTAAGAAGAAGTGATTTGATTTTCTTGGGTGTACTAACAGAAAGTGTCAACAGAAGTTAACTGTGAACTGTGAGATTTGTCTCCTTAGGCTTGCTGTGAGCAGCATTGCAAACTGAACAAATAACACTGTTATGCCCTAAAAGAGGGGGCATTTAACAATAACGTTACACCTATCTTAATTTTCTGTAAATTGTATTTTGTATGAGATGCTAAAGAGCACTTGATGAAACATTTGAAATAATTTGGTTTTCCAATAATGACAGAAATACTCACTAGGGATAGGACATTATCCTTTTCTCTGATTTCCTTGAAAACAATGTGTTATTTTTTCATGGAGTTTCTCTATTTTTTAAAGTATAAAAATCTTTTTTTAGAGTTATTTGTTCCTAGATTAACACTCAGCATTTGGGGGTGGAGATGTTTGTTTCTCCTTCAATATTGTAATCTTTCTTCTTACTTTTCAATGGGGAAAAATATTTTTTGTTTTGAATTTTATGAAAAGGAACAATTCAGCTGAGGAGAAAGGTGTCTCTCTCCTTATAGTCTTCTCTAGGTCTTTTCTTTTTTTTTCTGTAGCTTTTATGTAAATCATGCTATAAAAAAATCCTAAAAAAGACAGTTGAATGTTCTGGTGACTCCTGTCCATGCTTGTGCTTGTCATTCAGTGCTTGAATATTCTGCTGTTGCTAGAGATTTCTCTTGACTTATTCAAAAGTTTGATTTAACGAGTTGTTGCAACAAAAGTTAAATGTCTGAATACCTCCTCTATTTGAATTTTAGTGAACTGTATTCTTTACCCATACATTTCTCACAGACTGAAGGTATCAGCATCATTGCCTGATCCTCAGTGGTGTTTTAAGTGTGCTTTGTAGGTATTAAGCTGTTCCACTTGAATCTGATGGATTTTAGACCAGAATTTGTGTGCTGTTAACAGTGATGGTGTGGCATATGTGTTAGAAAACATAAAGCTTTTTTGGTCAGAGCTCCATTCCCTTTTTTTCTCAATTGTTTGCCCAAAGACTCTTGGAAAGTCCATAAGACCACACAACTTACCCAGTAGCAAAGTCCTGCCAGCTTCCATCTTCAGCCTGTTTGAAAACTTTAACAGCTACATTGGATGCAGGACTTCCTCTGACTGCATCCAGCACTTTCACCATAAGAGGGCATTTGGAATCAACAGAGCCATGGGAGACCTTGGGGAAAGGAGGAGAAGTTGTATAGGAACTGTTCACCAGCCTGCAAAAACCTTCTTTCAAAGAAAAGATGGGTTCTAATTGCAGAATAACTGTTTACTTAAAAGTAGTTCTTTGACAAATGCCGTTCAAAGCTAGTTCACAAACATCTATTTCTTAAGCAGAGTATCTTAGAGCTTTATACTGATTACTTTATTACACACACACATGTAGATTGCTTGATAAATATTTAGAGTTGCATATGGCATTAGGAAAATGTTATAAAGTATGCCTTTATAACAAGATCGCAAATAAGAAAATAGTAAATTCTCATAAGTGCAGACAGAGTATGTTAGCCAGAGAAACCAATGAAGAAATACTTATGACATCCTAAGGTTGAAAGAACATCCCTTTCTTAATCTTCATTATACTATAACGAATCCTTAGTCATACTTCAAAAATAATTTTTAGTGCTTTAGAGCACTTCTTTGGCAAAGAAAGCAAAGCTATCTCTTTATTGAAAATATGGGATGTGAGTCATGAACAGATAAAAACAGAAAAAAAAAGGTCACATCTCCTAGATCCCTGACCCTTCTATAATATCTTAAATAAATGAGTAAATGGCAAAAAGAGGAAATTTTAAGAATTCTGAAGATGCTACTTAAAAAACAAAATAATATTCCAGCAAAGCCTAGTGGTTACAGAATTTCATGGATGATGATGAGGATGCTAGTCATCTAGAAAATCTAGATTATCATTCCTGTAATGACTGAGTTGGAATACAAAGAGACTCACCAGTGGTGCAGCTTCAGAGAAAAATACCAGTCCAGCTAAGAAAACAAAGAGCACAGACTGAAAGGCCATTCTGTTTGCTTTAGTGAGCCTTGGTGCCAGCAGCTAGGAGCTGAGGGGATTTGGGATTTTATAGCCAATCCGACAACAAAACAGGCTGCTTATTGGGTGCCCATATGACTCCAAAACTGCTGATTCTGATTATTTGCTTAGTAAATAGCCCAGTCCTAGAGTCAGTCCATGAATAGCACTGCCATTGAAGTCAATGGAAGGACTGCAGGATCACTAGAGCAAAGAAAATAAGTAACGGGATACAAACATGACCCTTGCCTGGGGAGATTAGACTTGTAGAAAGCCCTCCACAAAATAACACAAATGACCTTTGTTTGCCCCAAAATCCATCCAGTTCTAGGACATCTTCCTTATCTTGCCCTCAGGTTGTGCACAGTAATGCCCCAAGGGCTTCTCTGCACCTGCACTTGTTTCTTCTCAATGTATTCAGTGCTTTCTGAAGATCAGATCCCACATATGGATGCAGACTTGGTATATGTGTGATGGAGCTTGTTCATTGTCTGGCTCAAGAAGTGCTAATGGTCCTTGATGGAGGACAGATTCCCAAACAGTCCCCCTGCTTATTGGAAAGGAGCAATGTTTCTTTTTTGAGACCCAATTTAGATAGGATCTGACAAAATCTGCCACTCAGTGGAAGTTCCTAATGATTCATCTTTCCTCATCTTCAGGTAGATATTGAGGTCTCCTCTTAGTCACTGGGATCTGTCCCCTTGGGATGCTAAAGGTATCAGAGAAGTGAAATGAGTCCTCTCATGCACCATGTACCCCAGAAGAAGCCAAGGCAGCTAGCATAGGCTGGTAGCTTATGTTAACATCTGGCTAACGTTCTAGTTGCCAAACCCTTATTATGCTGGAAATGTTATTGTTATGCACTGAAATGTACATCTCAGAGCTTTTTCAGGGGCAAACTTAGCCCTGGGAGAAGTCAGATGGGGGAGTTGGCATGGTATAGCTGGGTTTCTTCAGGTGCATCACATAAAAATTGTCCGTTCTGTACCTTGTGTTAGTTCAGACAAAGAAACAGCCCTGTTTGGCATTTCCTTCTCCCAGTGGCCTAAACAACCCTCAGGCTACACTACTCAGGAGCTGGCACACTTATTTTTTACTGATTTCACAGTATTCTAATAAAAAGCAGTTTTGCTCCTTAACTTGAATAAGATTATGATGAAGGTTTTAAAGAGAAATCATAAAGAGTATTCTCCAGGGGCTTTCATGCCTTCAGGCTGCTTTATGCAGTTGTTCTCTTTGGCAAAGTTGATTTTTGAAAAAAAATGTCTAGTACAGTAATCTCCTGGACTGGGATCAAAGTGCCCTTTGTCCTTACAGCAAAGCAGGCTGATACGTAGGTACCATTCTACACACACTTTGCCTGCATGGAAAAGTCAGTGCAAGGTGCCCAGCAGTAACAAAGCATGCTGCAATCTAACGCTTGTGTGTTGTATTCAGATCTTACAAAGTTAAATACTGCTCTTAGATCTGTGCACCAACACTTTACTTCGCTATTTTGCTCTCATTGTTTGTAAATATTTTTCTGAAGCAATACAGCTTTGTACGTCTGGAAGAGAAAT